ATCACCCTGTTAGTCATCTGTCTGTCCATCCCTCTGTTAGTCATCCATCTGTCCATCCCCCTGTCAGTCATCTGTCTGTCTATCAACAAAATATACGTGCAGTACCTGTAGCCTTGATCTCACCACTTGGTAGGGGTAAGTCGCACTAGCTGCAAATATCTTTGAGATTGATGCCATGATCAGGTATTCATAAGAATTCTACAAAGATATGCAGTACATAAAACTACCATACTTGTTTTTATGGAAAATTCTGACAGYTAATACTCACTAATTTTTGATTTACTGGYTGATTAAAATATCTGCTGCGACGTTTTTTTAACTCTTCATAGGCCATAAACTGCAATGCACCATGGGATACCCCAATAACACCAGGAAGATAACCCTGAAATGTGCATCATACTTTAACTTTCAATAACGCAACAATTGCAATGCAGTTGTATATATGGGTGAGAAAAGACTTATGATGTAACTTGTACATGTACTTCTTTTTGTACGTTTGCACTTGTTCTTAACATGGGGACCACAGTAAGCCCAATGAGGACCTAAACTAACAAACTTATAAACATACGTAGGTAAACATTAAGTACCTTATATAAACCACTGATTCCTTCATATCTCCATATTTTCAAAAATGCATCTAGTATAGTAAAACAAATCAATTCAAGMAAAAATTTATAATTAAAACTTAGAACTGAGACAAACAAGAAGAGCAGAATAGAAGAGAATGCTGAATATACAAAAAAAGTCATGAAAAGAAAACCTCTCACCTATCATGCCAGTGTATTTATGAGTTTGTGTTGTGGTAACATGAGGGCCACTGTACTGTAGACACATTCTTGTCTTTACAACCCAAACTGGATTAGTTACTGTTAATGTTGCAAGACCTTGAGAAATCAATCATAAATACAGCACATAAGATATGATATTGTTTTTATTTCCTGATATAATTCAGTATTATTCATACCATCATCATCATTTCAAGCATCATCATCATCAACAAATATCATGATGTAAAATAATCAATACAAATTCGCGCCTAAATTTACCTGCAACTGCCCCTGCTAAAAGATGTCTATCTGCCCCCAAAGGCTGATCACTGTCATCCTGCATCCAGGCTTTTATTATGTTATAACTGTTTGTATATAAGAATTCAACATATTAGAATACATGATATACTCATACCATAAAACTTGCTATAACTATACCTGAAGAAGTAGAGTCCCCACGCCATGCCATTCCCTGTGACGTTAGGTGCTGCCCCCTGATACAGTCCCCTCCAGCCATCATTCTTGATTACTGACCGTGTTGCATCGATAAATCCTTTGTACAGTGGTCCTCTTCCACCTCCATCATTAACTACATGAATTAATCACTAAATTAATCAATCATTATACAAATCATACCATTAGTCAATCAACCATCTGTCATTCATGCAATCAATTATYAAATCAACCAATTATTGAATCAAGTACTTAGTAAAATCAACCATTAAATCAATCATTCAACCAATCAATTCATTAACCAATCGCTTACTCAATCATTCAATCAACCACTAAATCAATCATTCAGGAGGCGAATGATATGAAAGATTCTAATCGTCTTTAATAAAGCTTTAATTATCAGACATTTGTAACGGTACAGTATTAGGGTCCAGTACTAATAGCATGAAATCTGACAGCTGTATGCACCCTATTAATGCACCGAGTACCAATGCAATTTTTCGACAGTTTATCTTACCCTGTAGTCGTATTTTAACCAAATCTAATGGATGTAAACATAGTGTAGCAGATACTCCTCCACTTACACCAGCAACTAAGTGCTCGTATCTGATGTGTCTTAGCGGAGATTTATTACCAGTTGCAACTGGTTTCGATACGCTATGGCTTTCACTCATTATCGGTTAATATTAATGGCCAAGTTGTTTTGATATCGGTCCATAGGTTGTCGAGATATTTGTTAAAAAGTGCGTGTAGTTTTCCAACGATGTTTATCCGCCATTTTGATTTCGCAATTAGTTACCAGTCTTCTTGACCGGTTTCTTATGCAATGTTCGCGCCCGAAAAGCATTATGGGTAACAAAATAACTTCATTTTAGTCCAAAAATTCTTAAAATTAACAGATTAATGTTTTTGAAGTATGAAATATTTAAAATAAGCATTTTGCTTTATTAAATATTTTTCATTATAGTTATTTTATGTTTATAGTGTGATGTACATAAGAATTCCTATTTTTATTCATTGAAATATTGTATAGGTAGACGTTTTTTATGGAAATCAGTTCTGGTCACTTATAGAGATGAAATATTACTGTAACTAAAGTAATGCTTCTTATAAAATACAGGAGAAAACCACCGCCTTTACTCACAAATGAATATTACCCATAAAACATTTCGCGCGRGTAGATAAAATGGCGGACGAGCTTCTTTGACGACTGCGAAGTTCCCTCAAAAAACACTATAATTTGTCTTCTTTTGGGACTCAAACTATTTTACTTTCTGGTGAAAAGTCTTTTGGAAAGAGAAGATGTTTATTTACTTAAGCAAAAAGGTTAGAATGTTCATAGAAATTGACATATTTTGTGTTTTTCAGAACTGTTTACCATCGTTGCATAGACGAATCCTGTTGTCAAGGAGGTCTATATCTTCATTTTATTTGTGTTTTAGATTGCTATTCCCAATAACACCAAGCTAAGATGTCTAGCGTGGAATAAAGARCAAGGATACATCGCCTGTGGTGGCGATGACGGCTTACTTAAAGTTCTTAAGCTGGAAATGCAGCAAGGTTGGACGATCTCAAGACTTTTTCTATCAAATCTAAAAGCTTATTAAACTAATTACAACGCTTTAAACTAAATGATCGCGAAGATAATTGAATCAAGAAAAATAGCCAGCACAATTTTTTTAAACAACATCTAAAATAACACAAAATAAGCTATTTCTTTTGTCCACAGCTGTTTAGGGCTTACGCGCATCCCAGTCTCTAAGTTACACTAAGTCTTTTGAGCTTTATAGTCAATAAATATAATTACATATTGTTTTAGAACTACAATTGCATGTGTTATTTATATGGATATTGTATTGTACAATGTACATAATGTATCGTTATGGTATTGGATTTCACCTAGACATACATGTAAGAGATGCCAACATACATGTATTAAACCTAAATTGTTAATATGCATAAATTTTCCAGGAAAGGATAGCAAGGTTAGGGGTTTAGCTGCACCCAGTAATCTATCAATGAATCAAACACTGGATGGMCATACTGGTAAGACAATTCATCCATTRAGTATTCTCTSAMTCACTTCATGCAGAGAGAGSCCCMTCCATGGACATAGCAATGATTAACATGGTTTTTTCCATCTTTTTATTAGAATCAGTGCAAGTAGTRACATGGAATGAACAGTTTCAGAAGCTCACAACCAGTGATCAATATGGATTGATTATYGTATGGATTCTATATAAAGGTATTGATGTTGTAATGGTTTACAATAGTAAAGATCTATGTACACAGTGGTACTATATGGACTCACTAATCAGAGTACCTGTATACTTTATTATATTTCTATAGGATCTTGGTATGAAGAAATGATCAACAACAGGAAYAGAAGTGTTGTGAGAGATATGAAATGGAATGCTGATGGACAGAAAATATGTATTGTTTATGAAGATGGTAGGACCTATGGTGCTACATATATATCACAWCATACTGTATAGTATTGGCGATCTTAAAGGCTGCTGATTACTAATAAATACATAGATTATGTCCTGCTTGCAGGTCCCAAAATTTCTGTAGCTACCAAGGAGGGCTAACTAGAAAACTTATTAGTTAATTTAGCCTTCTGGTTCTATTTCTTTACAAAAATTTGCATATTTTTTATACTTATTTATCTTTTTTTGTTACAAGCACCTTTCTCTGTCAAGTTAAAAGCAAAAAGAGCAATAAAAGTAAACTTAGGAATTGAAAAGGTCTAATCTGGGACGAAACTAGTTTTCCTTAAAATAAAGTTTCTTGGCGTGACTGTGTGTTAAAGACTTCACGTATTGGGTTTAATCCTGTCCAGCATTAAGCAATAAAACAGTTTCAGGAGTCTAGGTAATCTTTTGATTGTTTATCTCATTTCTTGTATTAGGTGCAGTTATTGTTGGGTCAGTCGATGGTAACAGGATCTGGGGGAAAGAACTCAAGGGTGTTCAACTAGCACATGTAGAGTGGTCCCCTGATGGCAAGAATATCATCTTTGGTATGGCTAATGGAGAGGTCCAGATATTTGATAACCAAGGAAACTTTTGTGTAAGTGTTACAGGTTATATTTATGCCGACCTGTTGTCAAACTCCTTGGAGACAATTAATCATCAGTTTCTGKTTCTGTTCATTTTGTAGACTAAAATGTCCATATTCTGTCTTACAAATGTGACTGGTGCAATAAGGATTGCTGGTATTGACTGGTAAGATTGCTGGTATTGGCTGTACATATGTAATAAAATGGATAGTTGATCTTTGTACATTGAAACTATGATTATTAATTCATTACCTGTAGGTATAGCAATGCAGACTCTGCAATAGACTCCAATACTCCATGTCTTGCTATCTGTTTTGATAATGGACGAATGCAGATCATGAGGCATGAACTGGATGAAAGTAAGCTTAACAATTTATATTGATTAATCATTTTGTATATAATTATTGCTTGAGGCTGAGTTTGAAGAGGTGATCAGACAATGTAGTGGTGAGATTGAGAAGTTTGCATAGTRATGATTATCAGGCATATAATAATAATGATGATGGTGATTATTTATAATGATGGTGATTGTAATAAAGATGATTTTACCTTCAGTGCCAGTTTTGATTGACACATCAATGAGTGTTGCTAAGATACAGTGGAATAGTTTTGGTTCAGTTCTGGCTGTAGCAGGATCACAGAGGGCTATTGGACAGGTACAGTGCCTGACACCTGTGCTAGTTTTTATGTCATCTTGACTTATTATTATTTCCATATGTTTTCAGGACAAAGATGTCAATGTAGTTCAGTTTTACACACCTGAAGGGGAGGTAGGACATCACTGGATTACCACTTAGTTTGCTCTACTTTCTGATAACAATATTTTGTTTGCTCTTAAGCATTTGCGCACACTCAAGGTTCCTGGAAAAGAAATCACTTCAGCTTGCTGGGAAGGTGGTAGTTTACGGATAGCACTGGCTGTTGATTCCTTTATTTACTTTGCTAACATCAGACCAAACTACAAGGTACATGAAACAAGATTTGTGTTCTTGATGGTACTTGATTTACAGCACAATTGTATTTTATAGTTTTAGTTCCAAAAAAGTCAGTGTGATCCTATTATTATTTTCAGTGGGGCTTTTTCTCCAACACAGTTGTGTATGCATTCAGTAAACCTGACAGACTTGAACAGTGTGTAGTTTTCTGGGACACTAAAAATGGAGAGGTAAACATTGTTAATTTCACTTCTTGAAGTTTATTTTTTCCCTCTGAAGATGGGACAGTGATTTGAAAGCTACTAAAAGTGTCTAATCTCCTTTTCTTTAGAAATTTGTCAAGTATGTGCGTAACCTGCTGTCCATCACGGCATGTGGTGACTATTGTGTGCTAGCAACTAAGACTGATGATGCTACTGCTCAGGTAATAACAATTATGATATATTATTTCATTGTAATGTTAATGATTTCATGATGATGGCTCAGTACATGACACTGAGATGTGTTCCTCAAAATACATCTTCTGCACCTYAGTAGTTTTATCAAACTTTGATTTCTATCATGATAAGCATTTATATTAAAAGTCTTTATCATCATCATCATTTTATTTTTGATAATTAATTCATGTTGTTTTGTCTTTCAGTATGTTCTTGTTCTCTGCAATGCAATTGGTACACCACTGGATTCTAAGTACATTGAAATAGGTACAACTTTAAATATTAATTCTAGTGTTTTCATAATTAGTTGTTTGTGCTTAATAAGTTTGGTTAAACAAGTTAGGACAACAAGAGTTTTTGACGTTTCATAATTTCTCAATTAATTTTATTGCAATTCAACACCTAAACCCCTATTCATTTGATGGCTTTTTTAGAACCATTGTTTGTTGCTATGACAAAGAGTTATGTTATCGCTGCATCCAAAGAAGCATTTTACACTTGGCAATACCGCAGTCCTAAAAAACTCACATCACATGAAATACAAGGATCACGACGGAAAGATGTCAGAGAAAGGTACGAACAATCAACATTTTCTGTCATGGAATTTATTCATTAAATGATTTGGCAGGTATAAGTACCTTAGTAAATGTGGTTTTAACATTTTCCATCCACAGGCTTTGTGTAAAAATGACTTCAAAATACATTTTTGCAATAATTTAATTTAATTTAATTTGTTAAATTAAAAATTAAATTAAAGTGAGGCAGTGCAAAAGTCTTAGACAACAACAATTAATTTTCAGAAAAAAAAACAACAAAAAAAAAACAATTAATTTTCAGTCATAATCTTAAGAATAAATCATTCAAACTAACTTATAGGATCCATTTAAGTTGTTGTAAAATGTAGTGTCCTTTAAACACTGCAGCACTATTGGGCTCCCTGTGTCTTTACTTTATCAAGAGGACTGACACCAAGCGGGGTTTGAAGGAACCCAATACTGAATTAATTAACTGAATGATGATTAAAACTAAAAACTACAATTGAATACTGTATAATCTAACAATTTAAATATCATTAAACCATAAAGTGTTAAAGTAATATGTTAATAGATGAGGTGACGGTTTTGTCCG